TACATTTTTATTTATATAGATAGATAGAAGATGATCTGCTTTAGTTCATCCTCACAGAAAAGCAAACTTAGGGAGTCATACTCGTAACGCCATCTGTTGGACATAAAAGCCTTAACCCTAGACAAAAATCCATTGTAGTTTTATTTAATTAATAAAAAATCTGCAGGTTTGATTAGTGGTAAACATTCCGGGGGTCATAAAGATGCTACAGTTAAAATTTGGTAACGATTGGTTCAGTAGTTTTCACGGTTAGTGGTCACAAACGAAAAATACGTTGTCTCTTTATATAGTAGTATAGATATAATTTCAACTTTATATTATATTTTGGTCCAAATAAAACATTTTGAATTTTAAATATGAAATAAATTTAGTAAAACTTAAAATTTTTATTTCATCTTAATCAAATTTCATCTAAAATATTTTGTATTGACCTTAAAAATGTGATTAAAATGTTTTAAACTTTATACTAATTCTTTTCATCTTTAAATCATTTCAACTAAAGTTGATGCTTTGTCAAACATACAACTGAACTTTTACATTTAGAAATACATATCAAACTTTTATAAATAAAGACAATGATTAAGAAAAAAAATTATTTCTTTTTTACTGCAATAAGTAATGTTGAAAATTATTTCAGCAGTTTTTTTTAACCAACATTAAAAAATAAATAATATAATCTGTAATTTTCATTTATGGCAAAAATGTAATGTAATTTCAAAATATATAAAATATGATAGTAGAATGTAATTTATTTTAAATGACAACTAAATTTTAAATATTTTGCAAAAAATATTTTAAGTTTAATATAAAATTTATTTTAAAATTTTGTAATTAAAAAGTTTATAAATTGAATTTATAATGACAATCAATTTTTTTAAATTTGAAATAAAATGAAATAAAAAATTTCAATTTAATGAAAATTTAAAAATAAAAAACAATATAATTAACAAAATACAACAAAACTATTATTTCAAACCACAAATTTCTGAAGCTAAAAGTTATAGTTAATCATGAAAGTCATTTTCTTTTTATAATTTGCTTTCTTCTTAATAGATATTAAGAAGAAAGCAGATTATAAAAAGAAAATGACTTGCTAGATAGCAAATTATTTTTCCACAAAAATTACTTTAATTAAATGACACCATTTTCATTTAGTTAGAATTCTCAGTTTTTAAATCTAATCTATTGCATTTCATTCACATAATTTTCAGAATAAATTTAAGAAATGCTAGCTGAAATAAAATCAAATTATACCTAATAACATATAGTATCAAAAAGCTGAAAAAAAATGTAAATATCTGTACTTACTAAACATTCTAATAGACGAGCAGGACGGGAAATAATTACTAACAATTTCTTTATTAACTTCTTCAAATATTGAGCTGCAGAAGGTGATTTTTCTTGACACTATTAAATAAAATCATAAAAAAAATTTTTAAATTGTTTTATACTTCATTAAAAGATTATATAAAGAAGAAAAAATGTATATTAAAAAAAATTGAAATGCTTAGTTTAAATAATATCATAAAGTACGCAGCAAATCACTATACATATAACTAACACCTTATTCTTGCCGAGAAATATAATTTATTTCAAACAAACATTTCAGCCTGATTCACAGGCCATCTTCAGGTTGAGAACCAAATTTGAATTAAAGGATTCCATTAATGGAATACAAAATTAAATAAGCAACGGAATAAGATAAAATAAAAAATTAAATATTAAAATAACCAACGGATTAACATAAAATAAAAATATAAAAATGCAAAAAAATGTACATAGAAGTATTAAGAAATACAATTAAAATTACTATTTTGACTGGTTAGAGCTCTTATTAAATTTCTTAACTATAAACTTCCATGAAGAGGGAAGACTTTCTGCATCCCTTGCATTTAAACAGCCTTCCTGTATTTTACTCCTATAAATCTGGAACTTTTCAGCTGTCAACGCCAAAGATGGGAAAGATAAAGGTTCTATGATGGCTGCCTCATTCCATTTGACTACAGATCCTGGTGCTTGCGCCATTTGGGACAAAATTGTTGCATTAGACTCCTTTCTGATATTATAACTATGTTCCTTGAATTCCTTGATTCTAAGTCCCAAACTCCTGTTGGTTACTCCAATATAGTTTGTTTGAAATAAATTATATTTCTTGGCAAGGATGTGTTAGTTATATGCTTAGTTTAAATATTAAATTTAATTCATTCCAATTTTAAATTGATGATTAAATATTAACTAAATGATTCTTACTTTATAATAATATTCAAAATCACTTTTAAATATATTTAAAAATTTCAGTATAAAGAAGTATAGTAAAAAACAATAGCTAAGCTTGCTTTGATAGCATATATATTAATTTAGCTTTGATCTTTTAATGTTTAATTTTTATTAATGCAATGCAATCATTATAAGTATGTGTGTTTATATATATACACACTTTAATTTTGAATCTGAGACCAGATATGAAAACCAAGGGCAGGAGGCCTGATTAACTATGTAAGTACAGTACAAACTACTGATGCAAGCTGGAAATTATGTTATTCCAATTCAAAAGATCCCCTGAAAGCAGTTAATAGATGACTAGCACAACACTATTGTTAAAGGAAAAGTATGATGTACAGGAACAAGTCACTACTAATTTGAGGTGGAGAGCATATATTTTAAATTCAATACAGTAAAAATATGATTGTCACAATGCCAGGCTGCAATTTTTAATCATATTTTTACTGTACTGAATTTAAAATATATGCTCTCCACCTCAAATTAGTAGTGACTTGTTCCTGTACATCATACTTTTCCTTTAACAATAGTGTTTTGCTAGTCATCTATTAACTGTTTTCAAGAGATCTTTTGAATTGGAATAACGTGATTTCCAGCTTGCATCGGTAGTTTGTACATAATTAACTATGGGCACAAGGCCATGATTTTCATATCTGGTCTCAGATTTCATCTGTCTAATTCCATTTTCAAGATTAAGGAAAGATGGATGAATGGACAACAATGGGAATTTATAGGTCTATAGTTTTTTCAAATTGCAGCCCAACAATAAAAACATACATAGCACTACAGAAAGCTGCAATATTGAACACATGTCGCATTTCATATTATTAGGAAGTTTCTAGATATTGGCACATGTACCAATAACACAGCTTAATATTACACTTGTTTGGGTAGTTATGCTTTGGCTTTAGTCCTATATAGCACTTGGCACCAGCATCAGCTGAGCATGACATTTGCAACATAATAATGATAATAATAATTAAAATTAAATTATTAAGTTTACTATCAAGTATTAAAGATATTCATAAGTTTTTAAATAAATGAAACTAATTACAAATCCTGCTATTTCAAAATTTAGAGTAGAGGCCTATCTATACTACATTTGCTATTTTTTCTTAGTTTAAATCAAGTTAAATAATTTAAAAATATGTTTACTTAAGTTATTTATTTTGAATTTTAACATTATTCATTACCACTCCAAACATAATTATACAATGCTTTATTTAGTGCATTTTCTACTATTTATCAAAATTCTTTTGATGAAAACAAAAATGATAAATAAATTACAGATGTCTAAAATATGTTAAATGGAGATAATAAAATTTCAGTTTTTTAATAACTAAATAAACAAAAATATTAAGCACACAAATTAGTTTACATTTGATAACATGTACAAAAAATTGATAGTAGAAAAAAAAGCAAATCAAATTGTGAATATGAAACAAAATAAATTACATGCATATTAAGATTAGTATTGAAAAGTTTTAGAGTCAGTGTCAGGAAAATAGAGATAAAATAATCACACAAATTAAAACAAAAGTTTTTGCATATGTTTAGTAATAAGTTATAATTTTCTTTTACGTCAAATTATTATTATTATTTTTTATTTATTTACAACAAAATAAAAATCACTAAAATGAAAGAATATTTAAGACAATAGATAAGGCCAAAACTTTGAAACTAAATCTATAACAGTGTTTCCTTTTCCTGCTTCCTATTCCTGATTCCAAAAGGAATTAAAACTAGTAAATATTAAGGTAACAAACATATTAAAACAGGAAAAGATTGTATAGATGAAGATTGAAAGAGGAGTATAAAAATTTTCTAATTACACTAAGGCAGATAGATATATCACAAAATGAAAAAATAAAAATGCAAAAAACATGTAAATTTAAGAAGGTATTAAAGAAGCACCATAGAAATGATACAAAGAAAAATGATAAAAATACTTTATTTTCACACAAAACTATTGCAAATTATGTATAACATTTCATCTTTACAGTTCATAGACATCATAATTTTGTAACATAAATGCATAAAACATTATAAGAAAATAAAGAAAAATTTTGTTTGTATGAATTTCATTTACTTACCTCTGTTAATAATTTTTCTAAGTTTTCTGACATTTCATAGAAATAATGTGATGTTATTAACTGCTTATGAGATTGTTGAATACAGTCTCTTGCCATCTCGACAACTTGATGATGAGCAAATCGTGCAACTGCATCAGATAGCAAAGAAGAGTCCAGCTCTCTATTGTCTACAATAAATTTTTCTAATCTTTCTTCCATTTGTTGTGTGGCCTAATTGAAACAATATTTAATCTCTTTAAGTTGCATTAAAAAACTTCTGAAAATTTATTCATTAATTTTTCTAAATTATATTCAATATACAAATATTAAAACATATTTCTGATGCAAGCAAACATTAATTTCAACTGAGATATTTTATGACAGATAATTGAGGATATTCTTTATTAGTTGAATAACATTATATTATTTATATAAGAAAAAAATATTAGATTGTTCCAGAATTATCAAACAAAACTTACTTATCACTGGTATATTTATCATTATATTTTTATTTGAATATAAAATATTCCTTAAAAATGATAAAATGTTTAATAAAATAACTCTGAAGTAATAAAAACATTTGTTCTTAATAATGATAATATAATTATTTTGTAGTAATTTTGTTTATTAACTAATAGAGAAACAAAAGTTATAACAGTTAGCATTAGAAAATTATGATAAATACATTATAAGCAATTAAATTTATTTAGGGAAAATAAACTTTGTCCTTATAAAAGAAATCAGCATTTATAACAATGATAAGTACCGTACATAAATACTGATTCTTCATAGAAAGTGTTTTGTTTTTATCTACATAAAATACAATAAAAGGGAAATAATCCATATTAACAATGATATTTTGGTTTAATTTTTAACTTTAAATTTTTTTAATATCAATTTAAATATATCTTTTCTTACAAGTAATACTCTTCTTAATAAAGTTATTAAACAAATAAAAAGTAATCAGCTCCATTACTCATAGAAAAATATTTACAATTTTTTTACCAGAGCAAAATGATAAATGAAAACAAAAATATGCAGAATATAGAGTTCAGTCAAAAAATTTATAGTAAATGCATTAAATAGTTTGGATGTTTAGACTAAACTGTAGTATTCTCCATATTTTTATTTAGTTTCAGCTTTTTGTATATGTGATCAAAGGTCATTTTAATTTGTTTCATGTAATAGTATTTTATTTGTAAGCTAAGTGCACAAAAGTATAAAAGTAGTGAACAAATTTTTAAATTAAAAACTAAAAACTTTTTTATTATTATTTATGTATCAATATTATAATTGTTAAGTCAAATAAAATTTTATACCTTGGGAAATCGTTCTTTATAAATGTTATTCATCATAATTACATCACTATCCATTCCTGGAGATCTCAAGGGACTATCACAAACAAAAATATTTACATTTGATTATCAGATAATCTCTTTAAAACTTCATAAATTTATTAATAAATTTCAATTCTATAGATAAAAATATGTAAATAATTAAATTAATATGTAATTTAAAACAAAATACTTCAACATATAGAGAAACATATATAAAATTTTAAAGTAAATCTTATAAATCTAAGAACTTAAAGAATTTATTAAATAAGAATTCCTAATTTTATCAAGTTCAAATAAATTGTTTTAATATTTATATAAAAGAAAAACAATTTCCAAAAATAGTTTTTTTTATGAGATAAATACATAATGTTTATACCATCTTTTATATATGGTGTAAGATAGCTGTAAATAATTTTTAAATATTAAAAAAAGGACTTTAATTATAAATATCTAATAATAAAGGTTAAAGAATTTAATTTTTCTCTTCTCTGAATACAACAATACTTTCCTTCAATTTAAATTTAAAATATTATTTTAAATCACATATTGTATTATGAGGATTTATTTTAAATATGTAAATGAGAAGAATGCCTATTATAGAATTTTTCATCATGTTGTTTACAAATCTTGCAATAAACATATGTAATTACTGCTTCTTCTGTTATTCTCATATATTAATCTTGAATTTTATTGAATAATATTAAAATATAAGCTATTACCATTGTTAACTAATTTACAAACATACTGTATATGCTTCTAGTTCTAATAATTCAAAAAATAAAATAAAATAAATAATCAAAATTCCTTAAAGAAAGATTACATTTGCTTATTGATTTAATAATTTATATTATAGTTATCATTATAACGATTTTTAAATTATTGTAATCATATCATAATTTTATTTAATATATAAAAAAAAAACAAATTATATATATTTCTAGTTAGCTGTATTAATTCAACATATCCTGAATATAAAAATTGACAAGATATTCAACTCTAATTTAAAAAAATAAAAAAACCTTCAAATTTTTCCAGATTAGATTTTAGTTTAAATTTCTGCAATCTAATTTGTCTTGAATTATTTTACTGTTATCTTTTCAATTTTTTCCAATTTTTACAAACCTTTTTCAATATTAAACTTCTTAAAATTTTATGTAGTCTATCAAATTAATGTTTCAATTTTATATATCAAATTAATGTTTCAATTTTATGTATTATTAAATTGTTTAAATTCATTGCATTCTAAATAATTCAAAATTAATTTCAAAAATTTTGCTGTTACCTACATAGTTAAATTCTAAAATTTATATCACTAACACTATATGCATCAAAAATAATAATAAAGTAAAACTAATATTCAATGTTTAATAATTATCAAAAACAACAACATTAAAAATAATGACAAGAATTTTATTTTGTAAATTTACATTCTGTTAAAGAATATTTTTGAATTAGACATAGCAGATATTTTGCAAGTGATTAATTTTAAAGAAAAGTTTAATTCTACAGCATGTCTTGTCATATGTAGTTTTACAAGCTCACATACATAATGCTTTAAATTAATATGGCATGTTGTGTCAATAAAAAAAATTCATAAAAGAATAATTCAATTTTAATTATTCAAACATTTTTAAAACCAAATTAAATATTTTATGAAACTGAATAAATTATAATTAGAGAAAATTTTTTTAAATTTCTGTGGTTATAATTAAATATTAATTTATTGATAAAATTATATGGAAAACTCTATTCTAATTTTTTATATGTATATAAAGAAAAATAAAAATAAAAATTTCTTTGACTTAGCAACGCTATACAGAATTATTTAAACTTCAAAATAAAATTCGTTTACATCTTATTGCAATGAATTTGAATATAACCTAAAATTTTTGTTCCAATAAAATAATAAAAGCTATACTAATATTATGATTGAAATAATAAGATAAAACAAAAACCTGAAATTCAAGTTTGATAAATAACTTGAGTCTCTGAACAAAGTTTATTATAAAAAAAGAAATTCATATTTAAATTTTGCTATATAGAAAACCAAGTAAGCAAAAGTTTGAGCTTATAAATTAAAAAGATAGAAAACAAACCAAAATGAAACTAAATGAAAATTACATATAAAATTTACATAGATTTGATTCTAGAATTCAATTGATAAATGGTGAAATAAAATAAAAATGATAGTAGAATTAATAGAAAAGTATAGAATTTCATTAGTAGTTTCCAAAATATATAATATATAGGAGCCAATGGATTGCCAACTTACCAAAAAATTTAGGTTAAAGAACAAGAATATTTTTATTGCTTTCAAGAAAGATATAAATGATGCAGAGTTGCAATTAGAGCCAAGAGTTTGAACCAAAATTTTTTTGAGTGTTCTGACACATTTACCAGAAAATAATATGAATAACTTCAAATATATTTTTTCTCGTAATTCTTATTCAATTAATTGTAAAAAAAAAACAAAAAAACAGAACAAATTATAATCTAATGAAAAAGATAGGAAAATAAATATATTTTATATTGCAACAGTGATTCATAAACTACTGTATAATTTGATCTATTAGCAAGAATGATTGCTTAATTTAATATTAATTATAGATAATTTTCTTATAGATCATAGATTATATCATTAACTTGATTTAACAAGAAATTTGATTGCCCTTTACAATCAATTTATGGGTTATTTTCCAACTTTTATAATTTGGTTTATAGGTTATACAGGTGTGTATATCCTGTTCATATTCACAATCAAGATTATTTCAACAACTTGCTGCAGTCAGACTACTTCAATTCTTGTTTTTACATATATCTTCTAATTATATCAAAATAATTTATTTCTAAGTAATGATAAAATTTAAATTTTTGCAATCACACTTTAGCATGTTAATTACAGTACCAAATTGTAACAGCATTCATGTACAACTTTCTATCATATAATGCAAATTGTTTGTTCTCTAAATTGATTTTGGCAAATCAGTTCCTATGGATAAAAGCTATTTATTTTAGAAACTACTCACCACATTTTAATTTTCTTTCTGGTTGCATCTTGTGAAAAAAAAATTAACATTTTTTATGAGAGATAAGAACAAAGTAGATCTATTTTCATCTTTTTATTTCTCATCAATTATCAGAAAGTAAAAAATATTACAGTAATAAGAATAATAATTTTGATAATAGAAGTTGTCAATCTACAGAAAAGTTTACACTTATCCATGTTCTAGACAGATTATAACTGTACATAGTTTAAAACTAATGAAAAAAGATGCTGATTAGATTGAATTAAATATATCATTTTATTTATCTATCTTATCAACATCTATTACATATCTACTTAGAAATTAATAGAAAGTGAACTGATTTTGATGATTACAAAATATTTTCAATTGTATAATAAATACAAGGCTAAATCATAACTAGTGAATTTAAATCTAAATAAATGACAATTTAAATTTCATATTACTATGTATTTCATATAAATTTGTACTCATTTATAATTATTTAATATTTTTTATTGTAAAATATGTAATTTTAACTGTAAATAAAATGAAAAAAATGTAAACTTTTATTTATAAGACTATTTGTAAAACTATTTATAAAAGTATATTAATTACTTTTAATTGTAGTAGTTAGACAATTTTCTATATATTATTTTACTTTATTATTTACAAAAAAAATAAATTAAAATTTCATTTTAAATTTATATAGTGGATATAGTAGATATTTCTTTCATATATTAATATATACACACAACACACAACTTAAATTCTGCATGTGTTCTTTAAAATGTTAAAAAAAAAAAAATCTGATGATTATTTTCCTGGAATTATAGGGCAAATTGTCTAAGCACATAACAATCAAAACTTTGACTAAGTGAGATAAAGTTTAAAATCTTCCATACTGCATTTTTAAAAATAGAAATCTTTTTATTTAACTTAAATTTTAATTAAAATTTTGAGCACATTTAAATTATTTTGCACATGAACAGTTCAAATGAATGAGACAATATCATATGTATCTTTTAAGATAATTAGAAAAGAATAATTTGAATTAATTTAACCAATAACAAAACCAAATCTAGGAGAACTTGTTAAATGCAATTTATTATTAAAAAATAGACTAATAAACTGATATTGTAAGAAAATTTTATCTTAATAATACTCTAGATATTTATAATATTTTTGTTCTAAATATAAATTCATTGAAATTTTAAAAATAATATTGCCAGGGCTATTGAGAGGGGAGGTGGAGGTTTTTTCTCTGGGCCTGAAGAAAACTTAGACATCTGTAATGGTTCCTAACCCTATATATTAATATTATTTTTACTAACAGAAAATAAAATTTTTAAGAATGCTTTTTATTAATAAAGAAGTGTTCTACATATTTCATTTGTTCTAAATAAAAAATAAAAAAAAGCCCACTCTAACCCTGCATCATTTGCAAGTTCTCAATAGTTGTGCATATTGCAATAGAACAAACTATTAGTTTAAATTTAAAATATACCTTTTACATAAAACATTGCCTAAAACAATATTTCTTTATTCATTAATGGATTTTAATCTTCATATTTACATCTCTAATTTTATATGTAGTATTTATAAACATGACACTCAATCAAATTTCCATTATTAAGCAATTTCATACATTTAAATTTTTAAAAATGATTTAATTGCCTTATTGATTTTTTCAGAGTTTTGAAATTCTAATATTTTCAGTTTATGTTAAAATTAATATTTAAAAAATTTATAAATAAAACTGTTGCATAATAAATACATCAAAAATATTTTTTTACTCAATAAATAAATTTGATTTAAATATAAGCAGAAAATGTAAATGAAATATTTTAAATTTACTTAAAATAAACATAAGAAAATTTAATCTTAATTTTTAAAATTTACAGTTTAACATTACTGTTGATTCTTAAATTAATATATTTATAAGCTAGAATTATTTTTTAAGTTGAATAATACAGTATTCTACAACCTTAAGCAATCTTTATAAAATTAAAAACATCATTAGGATCAGTTTTACTTCTCATACATGAAAAGTAACATAAGTAATTGGCATAAAGTCAACAAGTTTGAAACTTTTAAGAATGACTTCACTGATTTTTTTAATTACAGAATGATTACAAGTGTCATATTTAAAATTATCAAATTACTTCTTCATATTGTCAAATTTGTTTTCTTTTCTTAAACATATTTACAGAATACAATAAATGTTTGATCATATATTGTGTAGTTTACCAAATCAATAATTCATAATTTTTTTCAAATCCCAGATGAACTTCATACACTTAATGTAATAATTCATAATCACACTAATTTATATTGGATAATTTATTACTTTTCATATATTCATGTTTGATGATAATATATCATTTTAAATTATAGTGTCTTCTAGCTAAAAAAAAATGGTCATAAATAAAAAACAAACTAAACTTCAATTGAGGAATCATGTATTAATAAAAATTAAATCTGCCTCTGAACTTATATGATAACAGTTTGTTTTAAACTAATATTTAATAAAAAAAATTTTCTGTTTTCAAATTATAATTGAATTTATTTCTAAAATATTTTCCTTTAAAAATTATAAGTTAGAATTAATAAATGTAAAGTTAAGTTAAGGATCACATTTATTTCATGTATAATAAAGTGAAGAAGAAAAAAAAAATCTTACCATCTAAAGGATCACGATTGAGCCCTNAGTACAAAATTTTGAAAATTTACAAATGCTTAAACTTTTCAACTAGTTTATAATAATTGTGTTAATAAATTATGTTTTTTTTTTTCATTATTAAAAGTTTTCTTATCATAATTAAACTATTTACTTATTTAAGTGAAAAATTCTATATTTAAACTGGAAAATAACAAAATTTGAATAATAGTTAATAAGTGATGTTGCTTTGTTTACTAAATTAGATACAAATGAAATAGTTTCTGAACAATGATTTGGTCATTATGTTTTATAGTATGTTTATTTACACTGATAATTCTAGCTCTACATTAAAATTTTATATTTTTCAAAACTATTCACTTATTACTTTAATGATTATTTTTGTTTTCATATTTTTTTGATAAAATAACTTGAAATATCAAATTGATAACATTCTACTAATTTACAAGTTTGTATTTCCTATAATTATAGTCAATGCAGGCATTATTTTGAAAATATATTTCATAATTTTAATACTTTCATATCTTATGATTTATTTTCCTGAAAATACTATGATAATTTACATTATAGTATTAAAGTTTTGTTATTTTTTAAACATTTTAATTGAAATAATATTTTAAATTTTCATATTTTATTATTATTTAATTATTGGAAACACATTTTAAATTAAAAATATATATTAACATAAATATATAAAATATGTACCAATAAAAATTAATTTTAAGTCCTGATATAACTTTCAAAGCTTTCAATAATTAAAAACATATCAGTTTTAAATATCAAAAATTCAATTTTTAAAGTAAAAATTTTTTGTATCATTTTACTTTTAGATATAAAATTACATTGGTCAAATTATTTTTAATTTATAAATTAATAATGATTCTTATAGAAAACAGCATATTTATTAATAACCAAAAAATTAACAGAATATTTTGTAATCACGAATAAAATATAATAAATTGAAATTAATTAAATGAATACAATAATTAAATTTAATAAAACATCAACGTAAAAAATGGAAAAATTCTCACCTAAGACTTCGAGATCGAGGACGTATCAAAGGAGATCTCTGCCCATCATCTTCAAATCCAAGATTGCTTTCGTTACTGCTGAAATGTGAAGCTTGGTTGTTTTCATCAGGTGTTGGAGTTGATTGATTTGGAAGAGGATGTAACTTTTCCTGTGATGAACACTGAGACTTGGGAGAGATGGACAGAGTGGGCTTCAGAAAAAGTAGGTGCATTTTATGGTATTAGGTGAATGTTTGTGTGTGTTTTATTAATAATAGATAGAAACTGATTCACAAGAATGGAATAAGAATGACAGCTAAGTAAGTAATTTTCAAAAATTATTCTTGTTTTAATTTACTACTTAATTATTTCTCTAATTTAAAATGTTATTAGAAAAACTTTCATAAAGAAATAATAGAAATTTAATAAAGTAAACATAATGAAATTAAGAAATAAATGTTTGGAAATGAAAAGTTTAAGGTGGATATATTGTGTTATGTAAAGCAATAAAAACTTAATTTAAATAAATAAATAAAAACTAAACATAATTAACTTAAAAAACAATTACAAACAAAATTAATCAATTAATTTTCCAATTCTAATTAAAAATAACAAATGACCTACTTTTAAAAAAAAATTTTAAATAATAAGCTAGTTTTAATTCCTTATACTATAACAAAATAAATTAAGTAATTAATTACAGAAAATAAGATCAGAATGCATATTCACCGAGACATTTGAGCTGCCAGGAGTGTTAGTCCCATATCCCGAGGAAGGAAGAGAGGCCACTGACCATCTTCGGCCATCACCCCTATAAACATAAAAAATATATATAATGCTGACAACAAGCTATACTAATAATTTATCATGCATGTCAATCAACCAACCTAACAACCTAACAACCTAGTGACAAGATATAAGAAGTAATAATTCAATGACCTAAGGCTAAAATGCCTTAGGTTCTTAGAAGAAATATTTGGCCATTAATGAAAGTAATAAGTTGAAATTTTTATATGGTAATAAATTATTGCTTAACATAATAAAAATTAATTAATCACTACTGAATTATTACAAGTTTCGTAAACCACCTTTTTGCTGATACGAAAGCAAAATGCTGACTTGGTGACATATTCCGAGGACTATCTAGTGGGCTTCCTAAAAACAAAAAAATAATAATAATAAAGAAAATAATTAAAGAAAAAGATTTTTAATTCAGAATATGCATTCAATTTAGAAACTACAATTAAATTATAAACATCATTTAAAAAATACGATTAAAGTAAATAATGAATCATTTATTAAATGAATTCCAGTATTTGAACAATAATACAAATATTAGAAAATTAACTTTATTTCATGTGTATTAAATTCTATCAGGAAAAAAAAAGACAAAAAAAATAATTCATTATATAATTAAATGTTCAAAGTTATATTAAATTTTTAAAATGAATGTACAATTTAAATTTATTGCTTTTACAAAATTATTATTATAAATTAAACAAAATTATCTTATAAATTCAATTACACTCAATTATCAGTAAAAACAGATAGAAAGAAAAAATATCCAAAGATAAATTTAGAATATGTTCTTCATATAATATTTATATCTTCAGAAGTTTATCCTAATATATCTATCTTTATTTTTTGAACTGATAACTGTAAATTAATTTTAAGCAAAAATTTACAACTTTTATATTATTTAAAACTTTTAATAAATGAAGCAATAAGACTTGTATTAATGCTTGTTTTTACATCATGACTGAGAAGCACAACAACTGAGATACAGCATTTCTGCTGACCATCTGGCAATAGTTACTGTTGCCAGGTGATAGTTGGCATTTCCTTTAATAATAATGGTGATAAACTAAATCTTTAATAAGAACAGCCTTATTTTATTAATAAATACTGGAATAATAAATATAAATTTATAAGTAATATATGCTAAATTACTATATATAACTTTTTATTTTTAATAAAAAGTTATAAATTTATAAAACAAAATTATTCTATAAAAATTAAAGTTTTAAGAAGAAAATTTACCTTGTGATATAGGTGAATGACAACGAGGTAAAGTAGGTGAGGTATTACAGATTAAACTTTTTCTTGTTGTACACCGACTGTCATAAAAAAACAAAATCTTAATATTGTATATCATTAAGTGTTTTTCTTTTCTGCATGTACTAATATTAGTATAAAATCTATACTATTTTTAATATTAACAAGAATTTCCAGATGAATATATTATGTTAATGTCATTAATTATAATTACTCAGTTCAAAAATTTTAAACTTATAGTTTTTTTCATTTGTTAATAGTTCTGCATACTAACCTTCCTCTCCGAGACATGCTGAGTTCTTTCTAAATTAAAAAAATGACTCCAAATTTAAAAAATAAAAAAAATCATTAAAAAAATAAAAAATAACCATATTAAGCAAGATTAATGTTGATTTAACTTTTAAATATTTATAACGAAATACAAAATTAAATTAAAACTGTATTTAAAACAAACTAATAAAACTAAACAGTAAATTTCTTATATATACTTATATAATTTTAATGATTATCATCATAACTAACAAAAATTGACTGTCTGATTTATTAGTGATTGCAACATTGCTATTAAGCAAATTTAATGTTCTCTGTTTTTGACTTGACCTATTAGATTCATTAAATCTCTCTACTCACCTTTAAATTCATCAAACATGAAAGTGTAATTGGCAAAGATAAAGTTAGACTTCTTTTCCGATTATGAGAACTTCTCCTTCGAGAATAATCATCTCCACCATTTCCATTAGATGACATTTTATTTTTATGTTTCAGATCCATGTGAAGTATAATACTGATCAAACTACTTACAGAAATGCATATTTTTCGTTCTTGATCCGATACATGAAGACATCTCAAACAAGATGACTGATAATCCAAAATGAAAACAAAATTCAAAATTAGCAATTACAACAGTAATGCCATAAGTTAAATTATATACAGTATATATTTTGTATTCTTTTTTCAATTCAACACAAGATATTAAAATTCTACTACAAAACAGTAAACAATAAATGCAGAAATATCAACTCCAATGTGAATTTTCGTTCTACCTGTTACACTCAAATCAGATTAGAAACCATAACCCAAGGAAGCTCAACCTATTAACTGCAATTAACCTAGAGCTACATGATCCATTTGTCAATTATGTCTTTCTAAGAAGACTGTAATAGTCCACTTGGTTAATTGATAAAGCATTACCTCATAGTATAATTATTTTTAAAATTATTTCTTTACAACTACTAGTTATATATCCCAAGAAAGTTATCTATCTAACCTAAAGATATGATAAATAATTAAAGAGAAACTTTAAAAATTTACCATGTCAGAAGGAATCAAAGGAGTTGAGATAATCGATTTCACTTCTAGCAACTCATTTCTCTTTTATGAAATGCAGACCAACAAGCACATCGACAACACGTGCTTTTCTCTACTTCGGGGCCACATACAATACTTTACGAGTGACTGCGCAGAGAGGGAAGTGGTGCAACGACCTCACAGCCAACAAACGGACGTCCGGGGAGGTCGTAAAATAACATGAGTATTATCGAAGTACGCCGCAAGGAAGTGATTAAGTTTACCTTCAGATAAAAATCATTCCCGTTAAATACATTCCTCCCGGGGAGTTCGTTAATAACATTCAAGGGAAACAAATCTTCCAAGAAGAAAAACAATAACAAGTTAATAAACAAAAAACGAGGTAATAGATATTTTAGTCAACAAAACTACGCAGCCAACATGTTTACACTGCGTTTTAATGTTAAATTCAATTTTCTCTTTTCCTTTGTTTGCTTCTTTTAGAAAAATTAACTGCGAAATGACAGTTCGTAGTTTTCGTTTCCCCAGATATAAACATCAACATGTAATATTTATATCAATCAACTTACATTTATTTTGAATCTAAATATACTTCAAATTTTGTCGAAATTTAACAAATAAGCAATAAAATTATCTCTCAAAATAAGCTGTAAACGGCACATTATTCGATTCCAAAAATAGTAAAACTTGATTCTTCCTCGAAAATTTTGATCTTTGTCAAAATATTTTCTCCTGCTTATCGACCGTTTAACAAATATTTAGCAGGAAACAAAACATTTTCACATTACATTAGCAATTAAAGATACCTTTCCTTCAATTTATATATTTTTAAAAATTATAAATAGAAATGACGAGAACAATTTAAGTACTTTTAAAAATCTCGAATTATTGCATTAATAAATCAGGGCAACACCTCTGCTAAAACATTTACCTTTTTCTTTGTTCAAACAATAAAATATCAAAACACGGAAATATTGTATTGTATAAGAACGAAAGATGATACAGATCAGTAAACATTTTTTTTCAAAACTTAATATTGCATAACTTTTAAACTATAAAAATAACAGAAAAAAATTAAAACCGTAACCGGATACTTAAATAAACTAGCAATAAATTAGTTTTAATTTATAGCCAAAATTTTGATGTAATCTTTATTTAATTACTTATCACATTAATTCAAATTTAATTTTATTTATTCCAGATGCTATAAAAGTGAACCAATAAAGGCTATCTTATAGAATTATGATAACAAGATATACATTCTACAGCTATTTCTATCTATATTTACTTATTTATTTTTTACCCTCTCGTTACGGGGGCCAAAAAGTAGCGAGAAAACCTCTCTATTTTCGATTATTTTACCTCGGAAATGCGGGTCAAGTGTAACGATTGACCAAAGAAACGGAGCAAGGTTTGTCACTTCAGATTAAGGTCAGGCCTAGCGACGAGTAAATAAATCGGCTCCCCAAATATCGAGGGAAAAAATAAAATAAACTGAATAACAAAATCAGAATCATAACGAGAGTGAATTATGATGGATGACGTCAGTATTACGCCAACGCAATTTTTAATCTTTTTGAGACGAACGTAACATCCTCGAAGTGCCATTTTAATTATGAAAACAGCCAGAAGCACTAACAATATTTTGTAGTGTCCTCCTATTCATGGAGGTTAACCTATTATTCTCTGGTTTTCTTTTTAAACTTGATAACAAAAATCAATAGGATGTTGATTGATAGGTCAAACGTAATGGTAAGACACCAGCTACTCGAAGAATAAAAGAATGAACGATTGCCCTAGTAATGATTGGTAAAGCAATGTTAATAGAATGATATAACTCGACATACTTTTCTGTTTTATCCTTTTAAAAACTGTCAATGATACAGCCGGGAGGATCCCGAACAATTATAAAGCAAAATATTAACCTGTTTCCTAAATAAAATATTCAATAACCTATATTTTAAATTATAAACATATATCTGGAACTTAAATAACAGATTTTCTAAACTTTTAATGATTATGAACAAGATAATACTTTTATAAATTGTTTCCATCTAAAAAATCATCCTTAATAAAGTTGCCATTTATGATTCTATTGTCATTGGAAATCTCAAAAGTCGATCTTTCCAAGTAGTCATTTATCTACAAGTATCAATCAATAGAAACATGTATTAATGTATTTTTAAAACTGTAATGCTAAACTATTATAAATTATGATTTAAGTTAGTTACACCACAAGGAAATATCCTTGGAAAGAGAGTAGTTCCATAATTGTGGCCTCCAAAATAAACACGATAGCATAATTCAAGACAAAATATACTCGCATATTATTCAAAAATATTTAAATATGAATGTTATTCTGCTTTGTTTATATTTGAGAACAACATTTAAAAATGTTAAAAATTTGTTAATACTTTTTAATTTATATACTTATGCAAATTTAATCAATTTTAAATCATGTATATTTATAAATTCTAGAAGTTGTGCAAGAGTTAGAGATATCAAATCGAAATTCCGAACGTTTGCAAGACTAATAAGATTTAAATGTGTATCCTAGCGACTCTTGACATTTATACAGTACATTCATGTAACATTATATACAAATAAATACTATAGTCAGAACATGAATGCAGCTTAACGTCGTCATAAATGGCACGCACACCCATCAAAACCGCTGAACAAACAAGCAAATATCTTCGACTAGAAGTAAATTTATTATAATAATAGAAATTCTAGTTAATAAAGTATTTTCTTCTTCTTTATCTAGCTACAGAAGTAACAGCTTTTACTGCTCCCATCTGCTTCAAAGAATATCAACCAGATGAACATTTGGGATAAACGTTCATAATGAGATGGTTGCAGAAATCGAATCCAGATCGTCCTTCTTCCTCGATTTCCCAACGTTTCGCCTAATGTCTCTGAAAACAAAAGGAGCGATCACCCACTTGAGAACGGAGTATCCTAATTATTAATAGATGAACGCATTACTTCGTCTTAAAGGAGCAGCATTTGCTCCACCCTGTGATGGATAGCATACGGATAAAAACATGCTATATCGTCTACTTAATTTCTTCAAGTCTCAATGTCACACGCAATTTACCAATCGATAAAATGGGGGAGAACTGGAATTACGTCATTAATAAAGTTACGACAAGTTTTATCGCCAATAATCTATACTGTAAAGTATATAAATTATTATATATAATTGCTGAAATTTATGATCGGTAAAAAAAAAAAAGTCGTTTAAAAATTCTTAATGAAATGAAATTCGGATTAAAATAATTTTAAAAAAGTAAATAAAGAGAAGTCAAAAAGAACCCAGATTACTCATATATTTTCGTGTTTTTTTTTTCTTCCGCAAAGTACGACTTCGCCGCAGCATTCTATCAAAACTCAGAAGTGCAACATCGGATTTTCTTAGTAAATGACACACGAGTTTCCAAAAAAACAACACACTTAAGTAGTAAAAATAGCTTCTCATTTAGCAACTAAACTTGTTTTGCGGAAATGTCAATATATTGAGAAACTTTCTTAGGCTTCCAACTTTTCGACCATCGCAAAAAAAGAAATAATATTGTTTTTACGGAATATTTAATTAGATATAATTTCTGATATATGTTTTTGTTGATATCGATCGTTTGTTCTGTGATATATTGTAGAATGGAGGAGACAAGTTTTAATTAAATCGTCCTACCAGTTCTTAGATGTTCGAAAATATGACTCACTTCTGCGCAACGAGGAATGTAGAGGTGGTCGCTCGATGCCAAACTGCACATTGGTTCTTCCAGACAACCGCATAAAGTGTGTTTCCAACAAGAAATGTCATTTACACTCGGCTATTCATAAGTGTCAAACACAGTTTTAATCGTCAATAACCAATTTTAAGACGTTGGCATCGATCAAAAATTATAAGATAATACTTGGATTAAGCCCATTTAATAAATTTTAACTATACACTCAACTTTTTTTAATCGACTTAAAGCAGTAATTTAAGAAGAAAATCTCGGAAATAAAATTTTATAAATTGTTTTGAATCAAAAGTATTATAGTCTACAAAAGACTAAGTTATTTTTTAATTTTATTTTAGGAAATAATTAATGTATGTAAGACATTAATTATTGAAAAGTCAAAACAGTAGATACGATTAAATTTATATTCTAGAATATTTTTCATTTAAACTCATTTTTCTCATTCCAAACCGTCGTCCTGGGAACAGATCCAACTGCAAACTCATTCAAAGATAATGTTGATAAACTTAGATAATAGAAACAGGAATTTAAACTAAACAGGAAAAAAAATGTATATACGGTATATCGAATTCTTGTTTAGTTGTTTGGCCCGTATTGTTATTTTAATCGGTATTTTTAAAAAGCAATCAATAAATTACGCTTTTATTTGATGGACTTCGAGTACATTCTAATTAACAACTTTTTCTATATGTCTTTCTGTCATTCTGGAAATTGTACTGTCAAAAAATGTTTTATCATCTTGTAACCTTATCCAGTCCACTTCCGAATTGATGTTCTCTAATAAAATCGATTGCGAAACTGCTCTCTTAATGGAATGCCTTCCACATAAGCTTTGGCACGTTTAAAAAATGCCGTTGGACCAGTACCACAAAAGTGCCCATTCTTTAAAAACTAGATCGCTGTCAGGTTAGGATCGATTCGGCTATTCTCCTTCCCGAACAAAGACGTCTGTGATTATGACTCTTCAGCAGCACCGCTAACAAAAATGTCAAACTGGCTTCTTTCAAGTAGGACAAAAGCCCAAATGGGTCAAAGTCCAGGTCCCAGACAATGCTATACAGGCACTTGAGTGCAATCTTTTCCATTACGGCTTAAATATTAAGCTTAGATAATGGTCTTTCTACAAAAATCGGGATTTTACGCTATAAATTTTGATTCCTCAAAACGGTGCAAGTCTAGCCATTTCGAAACGTAGCAATAAATTTTGCACAAACAATTTCTATTTTATTAAGCAAACTAATTTATAAATGTTAAATAACATTTATCTAAAATTTCTTCATAGTTTTTAATATCTGAAGATATATCGATTACCATCAATTAATAAGATACTGTATCGAGTAAAATTGATCAGCAATATTTTCTTAAGTTAACTTTCTAAAAAAATAATATAGTTCTTTTGTTTAACTCAATAAACTAATTAGGAACACCAGTATCTCACGTTTCTTCAAAATAGCCATTATCATGTTTACGTCTCGTGTATAAGTGAACCACCACACCCTACTGAAAAGGTTAATTCTTCTAAAATCACACCCAATTAACTTATCAGACCTGAGAATCAAGCAAAAAATAAAAGTTAATATTAATTCGAAACATAACCACAAATCGCCCAATCATTTTAGAGAAGGAAAATTGGCGCTTAACTATTATCACAAAAATTCATTTTTCAACTGGTAATTGATTGTAACAATCTTGAATAACATTATTTAATATTTCCACAACATTATCTTTCGCGCTCTGTTGGTCAAGTGCATATTTTTTACATATCCAAATCGGATTTCAAATCCGTCTCTTCCTCAATCGAGATAAGCAACACGAAGCAAAGCACTCGAAACCCAACGAGGCTGATACGAGGGGTCCTAGAAGACTCTAAAAGGAACCTAAATGGATACAGCACCTGGCAGTGACAAATGACGATACTAATGTGACTCAGACGATTTGCTTGACGGGGCGTCAAATCCAAATAAATGGAGCAGAATCAAAGAAATAGAACAAGTTAGAAATATAATAAAAAAAAAAATTAGGCAAAATATTCATTCCATCTTAAATATTCGACACGAAAGTTAGGCACATTCGGTGAAAGACAAAGGAAAGTGGGCGAACAACTACAAAAACCAATTGTGGTAAGAGGGGACGACTCCAACCGAAGGAGAGACTCGCCTATATTGAAAATACGACACGTTTATTTAGCATAGACAGCGTGTCTCCCAGTTTGCTGCCCTGAATACAGATGTGTAGACGACTCTCTCGTCTTGGATTGATGCCAAAATGAAGGAAACGGAAAGCCGCAGGTTTTTTACGTCATTCCCTCATACACAGCAGTCAACTTGGTAATCTGTCTCTTCCCTCGAACACACAACTTTTCCCTCTTTTCTCAACTTTACTTTTTATCTACTTTTAACAAACTGTAAACTACGTACGAATAGGATATTTTTCCTAATTGTTGACTTAATTTCCCAAATTTTTAAATGCTTTCCACGAAGAAAACGAGGAAAGTCTTTACAGAGAAAAAATTAAAATTATCGTCAATATTCAAGGAAAATTATACAAACATTTCGTTTACTAATAATTTTATTCTACTAAATTAATACAATTTAGACAACAGGATAAAATATATTTGAACAATTCAAATTCTAAAAACTTTGCTTTTATTAATTGATTATTAAAATTATCTTCGTAAAAAACTGATAAAAAAATTTGATAATTAAATTAAGACTTGGCCCAAAATTTCATATTTTTAATGTCGCCCGATATTAAAAAAAAAAACTACCAAATGGCATTAAAAAGTAGATTATTTTAATATTAAAGGTAGTTAAGAAACAAAATTAATGTATTTTGTTAATTTCATTTACTTTATAGGAGATTTCAGTCCTTTTTAAATGTTAATGGCATTTTAAACATTTGAAGGTATTGGGCCAAGTCTTTTATTGTCAATTCACTAAACTACATTCTCATTTTATTCGCTGTAAAAGCCATTAGAGGTATTTTTTTATTAAATTTCTGAAACTAAATGCGTTGTTTCCACTTTTACTATTTAGAAAATCACTTAATTGGTATACTTAAACGTAACTTGTTTCCTGTATTTACATTTAACAAGATTTTAACGAAATGACTTTAAAAGAAAAACAACGAAATGTCGAATTTTTAAATAAAATTTGCCCATAAAAAAACTAAGTAAAAACAAATCCAGCCTGAATGTTAGACAACATTTTTACATAAGTTTCCACAGAGATACCACGAAAAAATAAATGTTTCACGTAAATCTAAATTTAAAATTCGTGTATAAAGAGTCTCTAGACACGGAATATATATTTTGTAACGCAAACGGACATGTGCAAACACAACTAGTACAGTCAATTTTGTATCAGATTGATGGCTTCCACCTAAATTCCTCACTCTAAGCATTATATCATTAATTTTGAGTACACAAAATACTCGCAACAGTTAGATTTTTATCGGCAGGAAACAAAGAATAGAAATGAAAGTAGATCAGTGTTTTAGAGACGGGATCCAAGAGAGATTTTTAAGCATTTTTATGCGAAAAAGTCAGCGGATTCCATTGTAGAAACATAAACTATCTTATTGATTAGTACCGCAATAAAGTTTAAATCCCCTTTTAATCCTACTATTTAGATATTAACCAGATAAGACAGAAAACGACAAGGAGAAAAGTATCAATTTCAAGACACGTTGTATCAGAACTGATAAATCATTGTTTGTAACACAAAACATCACGAGCGAACTAACAATGGGATGTGTTATAACACTATAAAGTCAACCTAAATAAAAATTAATGGATGCGCTATGTAAATGAATGGCGCTTACCTCATTCTCGAACAAAAAGTGAAATAAATGCAGATGAGGTTATCCTCTCTTCTTCTTTTGAGGTTCGGACGAGGCTTAACCGGATCCGGCTTACACATATGTAATTCCCTTGTCGTCGGTTCATCTCTAGAAAGTTCGGACAGACATTCATACGTTTATGTATAAGAAGAAAAGCCGTGTTTACTCGTCCTTATTTGATCGACATTTGAAGTTTGTCAACCGCGCGAACCGCCGATCCACAAACAGCCAGATTCGATCTCAACGTCCTCTGTCGGTGGATATCGCCGAGGGAGGGCGCTGCGCAAAGGAAAACAAGAATAGGAACTTGCGCGCTCTTTAATCAACGGCTACATCATCGATTTTACCACTGGCAAAAGCGTTCAAATCCATACTTGCATCTTTAAAAAAAAAATATATATATATTTTAAAGATGCGGATATGAAAATGCGGATATATATATATATCCGCATTTTCATCTAAAAAGCCCGAGTTTTATCTGGAAAATCCGTGTAATAATTTATCAGAACGCTGTTGCTTAAAAGCTGAGGAAATGACAGGCATTTCCGTATGTTCGACCATTTTTTTCCTTTATTTTTTACCGAAAAGGATCGTCGAAGCCAGCTTAAGATCACTACTTATATCTAAAAAAAAAAAAATCATATTTTCTATATAAAAAAGTCGAATAATAATTTATCGGATCATTATTGTAAGTTACTTAAAACTTGTTGAAATTATATATATTTCCATATATATGTAACACTTTTTCTTTCTGTATTTTTGAAAGAAATTAATTAAAATAAATTAAAAAGCCTTTAAAAAAATATATTTTTTATTTTTAAAAATGCAAAATTAAACCAAAAGCGTAACAAAAATTCATATTTTTAACCCAAAAATTAATATAATAATTTATAAATTCATTATGTTGTTTAAAACTAACTGCAAGTGCGTAATAATACATATTTTTGTTTTTGAAAATGTTTTGTTATATATCATCTAATAAAATAAAACATAGAAATATGTATATATCGATTTTCTACTCAACGGGAGCTTCCTATAAGAGAACAATACCACTTTTTAAACGCATTGTTAAATCTATTACATAATACACTTTCCTTATTAATCAAATTATTTGAACAAATTCTTAAGATCAAAACAAATTCATACAGTATAATAAAATTATTATCCAAAGTTATTAAAATAATTAAAATTTCCAATTAAATTTAACGGGAAATTTAATGGAAAAGTCGAATGATAATTACTATATGTCAAATCCTAGTGGGTAATAAACTATTGTACCTTATTCAGTAGAATTTTAGTTCTATTGTACACAAATTACCACCCAGAACTTTGGTTTGGATCCGCCCTTGACTCCCTCCTATGTCAAGTGAGCTAAGGGCGGATCTAAACCTAAAGCTAAAGAGGGAAGCCAAGGCCTAGGTTTCATCACTTGCCCTCCAGTGATACTGCACCCTACAGTTTACGAAACTAAATGCTTTATTCTAATTATCTGTTCCTATAATAAGGATATTCCTATAACTGTGTTAAAGAGTGGGTATTGAAAAATAGAGTTTTTCTTTAATTCTAAATAGCGTTTCCCAAATAATTATTGAAAATATAAAAAGAATTAACGACTTTTTGTTTTGTTAACAAAACAAGATTTATAAATAATTCTCTGAAAACAAAATCCGATTTAAATGAATAGTCTGGTATTATGAATAAATTTACATTTCAGATTAGTTACGGCATTGTCTGATTTTTCAATCCAGTTTCTAAATATAATCATTAAATATATTTGTATACAGTATATTTCGTCAACTTGAAAACTTTAATCTATCATTTTCTGTATCATTCTCTTATAATTTCTGCTTATTCATATTCAAATTGATCTTGTTTTGTTAGAAGCTTAAGTAATTCACATTCTTAGAAAGGAAACTATAATAATAGCCTAAATATAGAATGGTCTGGAGGTGATAAAATAGCACTTTACTGGTTTTCGAATCAGAATTTTAATTAAAAATATAAATAAATTGTTATTAAAGGTGTACGATTCGTAGAAATTTTATAACGTAACAAAATTTTTATCGGTTTTCATTAGAGAAAAACTTACAAAGCGTATCATTGATTGACTATTGTTTCGAATTAAGAAATTATAATTTGTAACGAAACTTTAGACTTTAATGTAAACCTTCTTTCGAGAAAGAACACATTATACATTATTTAATTTGTAACATCCAACGTGAGAGCTTAAATACGCGTAACGAATGTTAAATATAAGAAATTGTAAATTAACAAAAATTTTTTATAAATTTATATTAAATATTTTACCTTATTCGATATGCAATAGTCAGATATGACATAATTTCTATATGTAAACTAGAATCCTTTCCAAATTAAATGTAGTAAATGTAGGATCATTAGTCTACATCACGCAGCCTGTAGACTTATTTAAACTCAATTATTACACTATGCGTGCTCTTTTACTAGAAACAACTAACCTAACCAACCTAAAAATTTTATTTTTTCCTCTTCCACACTTGAAATTTCTCCAGATCTAGAATATCCTAATTACATTTGACCATAATGAACTTATTTTTTTAATCTATTCACGTACTGTACATGTGAAGAGTTCTTTAGTCGATTACCTAATTATAATTTAAACTTAATAACTTTTCTATGTGTTAGCATCTCGGATCATCACGATTCTACGTGCATTCGTGTTCCTTATAACCTTATCTATCATAAATCTGTGGAAGTGGCTAATGACTGAGAAGTGATTCAAACTCACTGAAGAAAATTATGTTTTGTTCTAACCTCGCGATTTTATCGAATATAGGAAAAAAACAAGCTGATAGAACTAGCCCATATCGCTCTTCCTTAACAATTACTTTTTTGTATCAGTCATTTACAAGTTTAATGAATGGGTGAACTCATATTTTAAAACATTTTTCATTAAATAGAAAAATAACGAGAAGATTCTATCAAAGTTCAAGCAGTTAAATTTCAGCAATTCATCAATTTAAATTTAGGTCGACAATACATTAGAACTGATTTATTTTCTACATCACGCCATTTCATCATTTTAACATTAACTTTCTTTTTGATGGAAGAAAATATTTTCTGTTCGTATATTTAAAAAAATAAATAATAAAACGTGTTAGCAAAAATAATTAAGATATTTACAAAAATATACTTACTTTAAAATATTTAACTGAATTATTATTGTTTTTATGTTTACCACATCATAAATGAAATATATTTTCAATTCAATAACAATTTTTCAAGAAGAAATATTATAATAATATTGTAATACTGGAAGATATTACAACAAGAATGAAAGATTACTCAGAATTTTAATCACATAAATTTTGTGTTATAATTTTAATTCACATAAATCTACGGACCCATTATCAATATATAAAATGAAAATAGGATACAAAAAATAACAACGATTCGGATCTTTATGGCATGATGATTCCAAGAAGAATTAGTCTATCCCCATAATTTAAAATCTTGGCAAATAGTATACTTTAAAATAGAGCAGAGAAATAAATCAGGATCAACCTTGCCACAACTGATGACACATAAATGTAGGGTGGAAGCGGGATCTGAATCTGGGCCATTACTAGCCCCTATGACGAACAATAACCCATTTCTAGTATTTTCGCATAATTCGATTTCCGGAATAATTAAATGTTTGTCATGAAACGGAACAAATGATAATCCTATTAATAAAATGAATGTTTTGTAGGGTGCTCGAAATAAAATCATTTAAGAAAAAAATAGTTATTGACAGTGTAAATCCGATAAGTATCTTTCCGATGTGAACGTACTTTCGTACCTGCCCTCGATAATCACTGGTATGACTAGAATCGCCTTAACTAGATTGATGAATTTCCTATCTTTTAGCAATATCTGATAAGCGTACACACCTTTTTATTTAGGACAAAAGGTTACTTATAAACTGTAAAAATTCTAATAACGATCGGATGGTATCAGACAGTCAATTTTTATTTATAAATGTACTAAACAAAAAAGAAATAATAATAAATACTTACCATACTGGCAGATAAAGATGGTGCCGATTGGCCCATTAAAGAGTTCCTAATTCTTACAAGATTTGAAGATTCAGCTGAACCTGTAAATTATATTTTACATAAAATTATTGAAATAGATTTTGAAATTATACGAAATTACTTTAAAATATTTTAAATANAATAAAAAAAAAAAAAAAAAAAAAGTAAAAAAGTAACGCCCCGATATAAAACGTAATCATAAAATATCAGAAAGTTTACTTAGAGTAATGATGTCATTGCTTAAGAGAGAAAGTAAATATCATTGATCTACCTTGACTGGCTGTTCCTCCAGCATAGGAAAATGCAGCAAAGCTTTCTCTCCTCCAACGAACGTCTTCGCTCGTCTGACGCGATATACTTCTTGGTTTACGTGGGAAAAGAAGAGGAAGATCGTCATGTTCAGAGCGACGAGGCGAAAGAGGATGTTGGTCTCCCTGAAATTCATTCCAAAAGGTCAACTACCTCTTATGTTCGAGGTCATATCTAGACATATATTTTATTGTTCGGAGAGAAATAAGGGCCTTCTGTCGCGGTAGATAAAGCAAATGTGGCGAATCTCTACTACACATTCTTGTAAAGATTAAAATAGTTTTTATCGACAAGCACTTAGTATTTACAATGAAAATGCATTAAAATATTTTGAATTATTGAGACGTCACTAGTTTGCATAATCGAGAATTTTTCATAATTTTTAAATTCTAGATAAATACTTGAAAAATAAAAGTTAAATTATCGATTTTTCTGAATAAATATTGAATTCATATAAAATTTTAATTAGTCAGTACACCACGGGCAGAGACACCCACGTATTTTTATAACATTTAGAATTAATAAATCATTTTTACATAACATATATATTTAATTTTCTTACTGACCTTGATTAATATTCTATATTTATTTTTGTATATATTTTTAGAATTTTCCAGGGATTCAATTTTGATGTAGCCGTGAGGAATTTGATTTTCATTAATTTATGCGATATCCTTTCCAATGTATTAAATATAAGCGTAAACATTACAAACTTATTTTTTAATAGCCCAATTGTTTATTAGTTTTGAAAATTTGACGAAACGACGATATTCATCTAAGTATTTAAAAATATAAAAATAGGCCTATATATATTTATTAATTAAAATAAATATTTAAGCAACAAATAACTTAAGTTTTATTTTTACATTAAATTTAACTAAATCCTAGATTAGAATTTAAAACGATAATAAAGTGGAAACGATTTAACGTGATATTTTTATCCTTAATAAAAACACAAATTACTTTTCGATTTATAAATTAAATTAAAAATTTTACCTGTTGAAAAGCCTTAGGGAGATCGAAACAATTCCATTATCGAATTAACTATTGAAAACACGAGTGAATCCTTGTAAAAAGGAAATATTGACAATGCCCAAAACAGCTGTCGATTGAAGAGTAAGTGAAATTCTATCGAATAATGGACTTTGTTTTTTTAAACCAGAAACTATTTCTTAAAGAAAATAAATTTATAAATCCATTGAGAAGTTTGTAAGAATATTAAAGTCTTCACCTCTTACAGAAAAACAATATCACACGAATAAATAATGTTTCAGCTTTATCGTTAACTTACTTAAATATATGACGACAGTTTCCTCCGTTCCATTGAGAAAAAAGCGTATTGGAAGGTTAGTCAAATATTCAAAAGAACAAAGATCGAAAAACGAATGGGCTAATTCGCACAACCTTGAATAATACGATAAAAAAGTTCGTCGAAATTTTATCGCGTATTTTTGTCTAGAGGTTTATCGAAATATGTTTTAAAATTTAATGTGTTATATGTCAAATAACAATAGAATTACTTATCATACTAACGAGACCATTATCTGGAATAAATTTTTGATAAATATGGTCAGGAATATTATAATAAGCCGTTGAGGTCAGCCTGCGTGAACTTTATTCTGATTTAGAATTAATGTGTATTACCTCTTCTATAGAAGAATAAAGATTTAACGTTATTATAATATTATGCAGCAACAATGTTACGTTTTGGAAAGTTTCAGTTGACATCACAGTGTATTAAAGTGATCGCTTCACTTAACACGGTTACCTACATTATATATGACTTCAATGTAACATGTTTCATGTAGCTAGCTCATGATGTACAGTACCTCCGTATAGATATATGCATATGAATTTAATTTGTATAAATTTTTACGTGGATATTCATTTCATAAGAAATACGCATGATTAGAGATACTTAAAGTCGTTTTTCAATGAAACAGAACGGTACTTTAAAGTCACATGGTCTGTATCTAAGCAACAATAAGATTATCTTTTAAAAAATCAAGCCATAACGGCATTCACTGATAACAAGAACAGCTTGATTTAATGCCCTTTTGAAGGTTTACGGTATAAGTCTATTTGCAGTGGAGACTGCAGTCTTCTTTGGTATTCATTCACCGTGTTCACTCGAAAAAATCCCCTCAACAGATGGCCATGCGGGAGATCTTTTCAGGGGAGAGAGGAACACCAGTAAGTTTTAACCTATTGACGAAAGACGAAAGGACTTTTCAAAATTGCATTTATTTTAAACGGAACCACCGCTAAGTTTCCTATTAATGTGCCTTTCATTGACCCCGCTTTGTACAGACGGTATGTCACCGGTTGTGTCATAGTCTGGCATACGTGACGTGTAAATACGATCCACCAAAACAAGGTGGAGCGCCTAAACAAAGGACAGAAGAAATTTTTGGAATTTGAACACAATGAATAACAGATGCGAAGATTCTCTGAAATGAACGTTAACCTTTGTGTATATCATCAGTTTGATTTTCCAGAATACTATATATAACGTATAACGTTCTTTTTTTTAGGAAAGATGATTTTAATCGGAGTTTAGTCAACTTGCAGCTGTGTTACTTATAAACTGGGAGATGTACAAAGAATGCTTTATGTATGAGGGAAGACGCAAAAGGGTCGATAAAGTTTACTGAATTCTTGCCAAATTCTTAGGAACAAATTCTTTTTTCCTCTCTCCAGATGAGCAGATGAGATTGGTTTATACAGCAAAAGATATGAATAAAACATTGACCTTGGATGAGATAACGATAACGCTATCTCACCTATCGCCATCTGGTGGTTAAATTAGTAAATATTTTATCAGTACTTTAACCATATCACAACACTTGAGAGGAAGGGAAAAATCACTAAGAATCTTTTTTAAAAATGTATTTAACATTGTTGATGAGACGTTATCTCAAAAATCGAAAAACTCTGTTTTTCGTTAACTCAATCTCCCCATCTGGTAGCATTAACAGTAATATGAGAACATGTTCCTCCTCGTAGACAGTGCTAAGTCCTTTCCCACTTCCTTTAATTTTCTTCAGCAGTCAAAACATATTAATAATTAAGTGTTACTTAACAGATTCTGACACGATGAGAAAATCGATCCCCGTTTCTACTTCGTTATGTTTAAAATAAATCAATTTTTAAACGAGTAATTAGTTAAGAACTTTGAGATGGTAACACGATTTTCGTTACACTGATGCACGACAGATGGCGCGATATTGTCCAACATCCGGTTTTTCTGCTCCCTGATATTTTAAGGTATAAAAATACAGAATTTATGTAAAATCAATGGACAAAGATAAACAATGAAAGAGTAGAAGTTCGTTAACAGCTAAGAGGTCTTTAACATCTTTGGAGAGATGAAACACGATTCTTTCCTGGCAATAAAGCAAGAAACTAACTATATTTATGAGCAGAGAATGTCTTTGGCTACAATCTGTTGCAGCTATCTCCTGTTTAAACTCAAAACGGAAATAATTGTATAATAATAACCTGCTATATATTGAAGATTAATATAGCACTTTGCAAGGCCTTCTTTATTTCAATCATAGCAAAGTATATTTATTATATGCACTATATATATACATTGATGCAGTGCTGTTACCTTGGAACACAACTTGAGCTACTGAAATAAAGTTATATTTATATTTGTGGCATAAATGCTGCAATATAACTAAATTTAATCCTTCCAAGTCTTATGTAAACGACTTTATCTAATGATTAAATCTGATTTATAAAAATATTTTCTATTTTAGTAAAATCAAGAAAATATTAGATTTTAAAATATCTTTTAAAAAATTGAGATTTTAGAAAATATTCCTTTAAAATTTATTGCAAATTTTGTAGCTTTTTCTAAGATATCGTTCTATTCGCATTAAGTATTTATTCCTCCATTTTTTTTTTTACATAAAACTGAAACAATCGGTTTATTTGTTTTCTTCTAAACTACGTATATCAGAATAAAAATATATAAATATTTTCCCACTGAAAATACTCTATCGAATCATATAAGACACGGAAACACTGTAGAAAATGAAAAGGAAAAAACAAAATTATAAAAATATTCTGATTTATATCACAGTTATGTTAATTAAAAGTGACTCCTGCGAATCCATTTTTGCTGCAAAGCTTGTGTTATGCAGTCGAGCCAGCTATCAGGCGTAACGCGCACAACTTTAATCGAAACATGTTTATCTCATCTTTAAAAAATTAAATATTATACAGATAATTATACTTACTACTTTAATGAAAGATTTACAAACTTATAAACATATCTATATATGTTTATTTATTTTAAATAATTTTGAATAAGAGAAACAGAAAATTAAAAACTCGAGAAGGAAATAAAATGAATAAATAATTTTTTAATATATTTAATTTTATATTATCGATTGAATTTAAATATAAGCAGTAAATAATAATTTTAATTTCGTATAAAATTCAATTAAATTTAAAGTTTTAATATATTTAATTGCAAAATTTTTATCGTAGATCCACTACTGCAATTGTTATACAGAACATTCTGAATTTAATGCGCTATTTTTTATTGAATTTAAGAAGCTCTTATGTAATTTAAACAAGGATTATCTGCATTATCATCTGCAGCAGAGCTTTAGAAACAATGCATGCATTTTTCAAACAAAAATGCAGCCTAATCTGAAACGATACAGGAAGAGAAAGAAGTGTGTCCTCCTGGCAACTTTCGACTTTCTATATAAGTAAAGGGTTGTCATTACTAACGTCAGATTCTATTTTTAGCGTATCCATCGCTGAACAGAAAATGGGTTATCTCTTTAATCATAAATGGGCTGATCTCCTTATATAAACTTTCTTCCAATAACTGAAAATATCAGATGGAATTTATTTTATAATTCATTGTTTTCGTACTAAATAATGTAAAAATAATGTTATTTTTTTATTCAGTTATTTTATCAGGATTAGATGATAACAGAGATTCTTTTATTTAGAATTTCTAAATTATAATTAATGTTAAATAATTAATTTCCAATACTTTGTCCAGAGACCAAAAGAAAGAAAATAGTAAATAATGGATGCGGTGAACAAAGATAAAGTAAATCAAATGATCCGTGGTAACAAAAATGATTCAACAGGCTTTTATTACCTCATCCTGAACAAATTATGTGCAGTCATATTTTGTTTTCTTTGGCATAGAAGCAACTAAATAGAAAAGTTATCATGATACCGTGAGAGCGGATATGTCATTAAGTAAACAGATTAACCAAAATTGATATATGTATGACTCTCAATCCTTTTAATCTTACCATAAATCTTCATCACTCTAATTGTTTGTTATTGATAAGGCAATAGCCTTGGGACACTTTTACGTTAGACGTTTGGCGATTAACTTTTTCGTCACGTTTCAACATTTTACATTAGTTCCAAGTTTTAATTGCTCAATCTTGTGTATATTTATTCTACTTTTTAAACACTACTTTCTACATTTGATACTGTATATTTATAACGTTATATAAATATATTTGTGTCAACATTATAAACAAAATTCTGTTGATCAGGAAATATGATATTATTTTAATGAATCACGCAATTAGCGTTTTGCTATTTATTTTCTTGTGACCAAAATAAAAACATTCCATGTCGTCCAAAGAAGACAACTTCAAAATCATTTGTATAAATACCAAAAAATAGATTTTCGTGTCAAAGTCTTTCACCTTGACAACCGAAATCTAATTGTGTGTTGTTTAGATGGATCCAAAAATTCGCTAAATAAACAAATTAATCTAATTTGTACCTTTAAACTTCAAAGAAAGAGAAAACACGAAGTAAGACAGGAGCTAATAAAGGAGTATTCCTGAAGGAAAACCAATTTTCTCTAAAAGCTTGATATTTTAAATAATTTTTATTCAATGGAAATGAACTAAAATCTCGATATATCATTTATCAAAATTTAATATACAAACTTTCAAAAATTATCCAAAAAATCACATTTAAAATTGTTTGATGTGTTTTTAAGATAAATGATAGCTCATATTAAAAAATTTATTGATTTTATTAATTAAAAAAAATATATATTTTTTTTACAAGAAAATATAGGCTATACAGTATTAAAAAAAAACGCATGAAGATAAATCCACATCAATTCAGTTTCGCCCAGTTAATGGAATCGTTCTAGTGAATAAAAGGCACGCAAAGATAATGAAAGTATGTCACCTGTTTTAAAAGACGCGAAATAACTTTAATAAACAGAAAGACAATAAATTTAAGAAGGATGTGATATAATATTTTAAGCACCACATTTAAGCATTATTACGTAATTATGTTCTGTTTATGAATAATAACAAAACAGAAAGCTTTGTGCTTTAATAACTAAGCACACAACGTTAAAACATTATATATTAAAACAACGTATCAAAGTGCAATAATTATACTTTGTCAATATTCAGCCTAAAAATTCAGCTGATTAGTCCACGTGAATTTGATACGTGAATTTGTTTAATCTGTATACATCTGCACGATAAAAGGACAAGAGCAAAGAACCTTACTTGTAAATAATATATAGTAAACAAAGCTGAAAATGATAAACAAGTAGAACAGACTGTTTCACTTTTTTTTTATTATCTAAATGATAATTTTACTTTAACCAGTTTATCAAAAAAATAAAACTGTTTAGTAATGTTATCAAGCACTAAAATGTATTTATCATTGTATATAACTTATGTAACTTTTTATATAGAAAACTTAGATATGTCATTTATTTTTAATGAAAATCAATAGAATTAAATTTAAAAAAATAATAACTAGTTTCCTTACAGAGTGAGTCGTGCCGTAACCTGAACTAATTTTATTTAAAAAGATTTATCATGATAAGTATCTCATATCTCAGCTTATTTTCTAATTTAATTATCACATAAACTTTATAAAATTTAATAATAAAATCGATAAATAATTAAATATTCATTACATAAAATAACTTTTACAAACTTGTTACACTTATAGCCTAAACTTGTTTTTAAACTCAAAAACCGAGCTTTTAAAATAACTTTACCGGTTTATATTTATAATTTCAACATGTAAACGTCAAACAACAACCTCGAGATTTCGTTGTTTACTTTTCTGAATTTTATGATACTCGAATAATAATGATATTTATTGTGTAATAAACAAACAAACCAACCAGCAATTCAAATAAATATTTTAAAAAATAATATCCTTAACCACATTTCGAAAGAAGTCATTTATATATTGTAACTAGGTTCCGCTATTGCACAAAGGAAAACAATCAGTTTAAGAAAAAACTCGTACAGGTGATTATAGAATAAGATGCAGAGTATTCAATAATTCACGTTTCAATCTTTTAAATGAATATATCCAAAGATAATCGTTTTCGTTTCCTCCATCGAAATAGTTAGATGAATTACATTATTCTTAAAAACATGTAGTGTATTTTAAAGTAAACATATGCAAATTGCGAAGGAGTATTCTTTCTATCGACGATATTTTTACAACATATTTCTAATTTATTATACAAAAATGCTTAAAACTGTACCTTTACACTGCGCCATCGATCATTATTTGAATTAAAACTTTAAAAATGTGAAGAAATTCTTGACGCGAATGCAAATTATATTCCATAGCTACCCGTTAATCAAGAGAAATTCATAGAAATTCACGTGATAAAAGGTTAAATTCTTTAAATTTAAATAAAGAAAACAAGACCTACCCCCATGACGTTATTGCTACTATTATCAGAATCAACGATTGTTCGAATTAAAGAGACAAACATTTCTTGAGTTCTTACCTATAAATAAATAGGAAAACGAATCAATTAATCAAACATTTACCATCATATTTATTAATATTTAATGATAATTTTTAATAAGATTAAATTAAAACGCATACATCCTAATTAATATTTTATATATTAAAAATTATCTTCGATAGTAATTATTATAAGTGATCTGATAACCGCTACTACAACAATAACAGATAAATAGAGTTTTTCACAAAGTTTCGCAATATATATATATGTATGATTAAGTGGAAAAATTATCTCTTCATTCGAGAGGGAAAAAATAATAATGAAAAAATTTCTTATCTAAAATGTTATTATATTAATAATATTAATGCTTGCTTCATTCATTGGCTTATCGTAAAACAACCCACTTAAAATCACGAATAAATCATTTAGTATCCACTATATTTACTTAATTTATTTAAAGAGATAAAAGGCTTGCTTCTTTATTAGAATTCTACATAGAGTACGGGAAATAAAATTGTTTAAAATATAAAAATTTACGGGCAAGCTGTAGAATTTTTTATTTAAACTTTTACCTAAATTTTTTATTTAAACTTTTACACGAATGACAAAAATCTCGGACTATCAGCGAAATAACACGCTAAAGTAGTTTGCATTATTTTATGTTAAAAAGTATACATATTTAAATATTTGATGAATGTCTTGGCAGGCCGAATACTAAAAAAATTTGTTTTTATTTTGGCATTTCTGGATTTTTCCTTAACTGTTGTCTAGAAATAGACTTGTCCGTCTTTCTAAAATTGTTTGGCTTGTGTCTCTGTTGAGTATAATGTGAACAGGGAAGTCGAAAGCAAACAATTTATCCTACACGCGAGAGAAAATATATTCTCAACACAGGAATCCCCACGCTACTTCAGTAGCGAAAAAATAAAAATAAAAAAAACATTTCTAGATCCCAAAGGTATTATTCCTACATAACAGTCGATGTTAGAGCTCACTGTTGCTTAAGCTTGACTCAAAAATGATTTTTTTTAAGTGCGTCACCTATCAAAAAATAAATTTCGGTGAACAAACTCGAGTGTAGACTATTATGACGTCATCCACCCACTTCTTCCTCTCCGGAGATCATTTACGAAATGTAGTCACACCTCCCGGCGAGTGTATAAAGAAAATCGATCGTCAAAAATTAATATCGATTAAGTAGAAACGAATCGTTGAAAAAAATAAAATCGATCGTAGATCAAAAACTAGGTTGATTATACTTTAAATATTCGAATAAAAACAAGAAAAAATATATATTTATTTTCTTATCAGTTGGCATGGTTCAAAAATTTCTTATTATCCTTGAGCAAGAAAACCCAAGGTTTCTTTCTCCTGTGCAAGGTAAGCAACAACATCTGCAACGTTTACTACACGTTCTCATAGCGAGCTTAGTCGACAATTTTTCCGCCAAAATAGATTTATTACAAAATGCATTGTGGTGTAGAAAGATGGAGAGAGGGATAATTTTACAAGTAAGTGGTTGGCTTGCCAAATTCCACTCAAACAGACTAAGAAAACCGAAAAACGGTACACAAATTGTCTCGTGCTAATTTCTCAACCCTGACCCAATTCGTCGACAAATGGTCGATCACGTGACTGCTCTTCTTTTTTTGGATGATGCCAAGCACGTGCTGAGCACGGTAAACTATACAACTGACGATTACACCGGTTAATGGAATGGAAGAGGTGTCACTGCACGATAAGGTTATTCGGGTAATCTTCGTCATCATGAAGTTTTTTTCTTTTTACGAAAGATCGTCACGTCTCGAGTTAGCAGCAATCACGTTAGTCACACGTGAACACATGAATATTAGTTAATTTATCTATTTTTCAAAGTCCAAAAATTTCGAATATCACGCCGAAATATAGGTCTAATTGAAAAGTTAAGGAGACTCACCACCACCACCAATTCCAACCGTCTGTAAGCATCTTGAAGCGTCGAAAACGCTTTTGATGGTTCTCTTTGTTGTCGGCCTTATCGTGCATTCTGTCCGACGTCAGAAATATCTTCAAATTTAATCAAACTCCCATAGAATATAATAAAGAAACGACGGGTATATAGCTCCAATCTCGCGTCATTCTTCGCCGACTATCGGCGAGATTTTGTTTAGCAAATTGCCAACTCAAACTTCACGGCCTCACTTTGATTGTTGCGACATCTGGTGACAAACCACCACGTGACCTTCTACACAAACCTCCGACTTTTATCGCAAGGTTTGATTACCTCTCTCCTTGAGTTGCGTCTGCGCCATTAACGATTTAGGACCAAACTGACTCTTATCGAGGAACTAATTCACAAATCTAAACCCGCCCTTGCCAAAAATGATCGATGTACGAGCGCATTACTTATCTCTACTCTCCATGACTTGTTAATCTAACTGTGTATTTATTCGCTGTTTTGTTTGTACTTCACTTCGTTTAAGCGTGATTCGTTATTGGGTAATATTGATACGGGGTAAAACGGGAAAATAAAAAACTATGCTTGCGTTTAACACTGTCATAACTTAACTCGGCATTTGTAATGCGAAAGGTGTCAACTCTGACCCAATTGAAATAATAAGTATTTGAGAGAATTTCTCCTTGAAAAGAATGTAGAATGAGATGCCAAGAATAACTAAAAGTATCGATGCATTTCGAAATCAAGGTCGGAGTGTGATTTGGTGACTTTCATTGACCGTCGTCGATGAATATCCAGGTCCTGTTGCGAATAAACTCGAAAAATTACTCAATTGTGCCCATGTGTCAAGGATACGTTTTCATTTTTCCCATTTACGGAGTTTATTTGTTTTGATACTAAAATGATCTGCGTTCAGCAAACGACGTACATTCGGAAACAATACGTCGACGTTTATATCTACATGAAATAGGGTCATTGTACTACACTACATTCTACATCGCCCTTACTACTTTCTCTTACTAAATAAAATTTTTAATGATAAATATTTATGTAATAATAATGAAATCGTGCACGATTTCTTCATTCCTCCTATTCGTAACGAGAAAATTTATAGTTCTCCTCATCCCTATTGATTAAAATTGATGAAATTAGAAAATATTTGTCAACATCTACATTGAATAATATATGAAGCCTTTCATAAGAGAGGGGGTAAAATATATAAATTGCCTTCTTCGAATTTAATATATTTTCTACTAGAAATAATATAAATCATAACTATAGAGAAGAGAAAAGATAGTAACATATAGGAAAAGCTAACAGTTAGTTGATCCTATATATCTTAGTATCAATTTTATCTTGGGATAATTAAAAGTTAATTAAAACACTGTTTTCAATATTAAAAATATTAATTTCATATCAATTAAATTAAATCTTTCATATAAATTTGCGGGTACATTAGTAGACTAATAATTTTAGAACAGATTAATAACATCCTGGAGGGCCTTATATTTTTAAACTTCCATAATCGTTCATCAATAAGGTTAATGAGATTCTGCTCTTCCAAAATTAAAATCATTATTTAATCTATGATTTACGATATTCTCATCATCATCATTCTAGTCGTCTACCACTTCACATTCTCAGTGCAGAAAGATGTAAAGGTAAATATACATAAAATCTTAGACTAAGTGTATTGCTATCCACGTATTCTACTAAAAGAAAAACGCTTTTAAATACATATGAATAAAATAATAGAATACAGAAATAAATTAAAATATCTAAAGCCATCTTAGAAATAAAATTTGAGTTTAAAAAGATTTTAGAATAATCCATTTTAAATTAATTAAATTATTCATCGACTCACTACTGAATAATTCAAATCTTATTTCAATAAAAGAAATCGATAATATATATTTTTTTTTCGATATTTTGCTGGATATTTTATTGCTTTTTACGCGAGAATTTTACAGATGTTTCTAATGCAACTATAATAATAACAATAATAATAATTGTACAGAGTCGTTCCTTATTAGATAATCAATAAGTAGAAGAAATTCAACAGGATCTAGAGAGAGAAAGATTATACACGTGATAAAAATAATCAAATTTTCTCTCAGAATTTGTACTAATTTGAATAATAGCCCAATTCTTGTTGCGTAATTGAATAAAAATATGTTTGGTTTCTTTCGTACTAATCCTATTGCAAGTAACAGAAGTAATGTGTTTATGAATCACTTGTTGAATAATACAAAGCATTTAACTGTCTTGACAGATATTTCGGTAAACAAAGAGACTGTATTGGTTCACAATGTTTATAAATTTATAAAGATGAACGACTCCAAGACGGAGTATGCAGTTGATATTCTTTACAGTGATATCCCACAATAACAATTTTGATGAAAGCTTTATACAATTTAAATCAAGTAATATCGATCTGTTTATGTAATATCTACAATTTTTCTTCATTTTTTAATTGTTAAAAATTCAATTTATTTTTTTAATTTAATTTTTTTAAGTTTCAGTATTATTATTATTAAATTTCATAACAAATTTAAGCATATATAACTGAAAATAAAAGGTAAATATTATAAAAATGTCGTAATTGCTACTGTCATCGATTCAATTATTCATTATTATAAAGATAATTACGTTTCCATAACTGTTTTGCTAATGCATTTCAATTGAAACTGGTTTTCATGTTAGGCTGATTGAAAGCAAAAATCATTGTTCACTTCAATTGTTTGAAGTCTTAATTGATATTTATGTAACTCAATCAATTTTAATAAGCAATACCTTTTAGAAATCTATTTTCCTATTTTTTATTCCCGTATTTATTGATACGGGATCAACTATCAATAAGAGCGAACATTGTAACTTAATTCCATTATAGATCGTTTTTGTAGCTGAGTTCATAACTTATCTATTGAAACAAGGAAGCTAATTTAGTTCAGCTGTATAAACTATTCGAAATAGCTGGAAAGGAAGCTGTTTAAATATCAGAATTTCGAGGGTCAATTATGAATTCCTCTTTAAAATATAATATAACATGTCATAGTATAATAGTTGGAGTGGTTTAAAGAAGCTATTCACAATGTTCAAGTAA